CACACACACACACACACACACACACATACGCTCGCACACATTCACAAAATACCTTGATCTAAATTATGTCGATTGAGGCGTAAAACACCTACATAAAAACAACAAACAAAGCAACAAAAAAGGCACGCACACACACACACACACACACATGTGCAGGTGTATGTCATAATCTATTCTGTATTTTACATCCACACATGTACCCAGTCGACGAAAAATACACGACACAGAGAGAGTTACATCTCGATAGACAGGTTGATATAGACAGAGAGAGAATTTTCGGTCGCTACACAGATTCGAACCTGGGAACTTTGAATGAGAGGCGAACACCTTAACCTCCAGGCCTCGAGAGCTCCCCGACTAATTATACACAACACAGACCCATAAAAGTAATTATAAACTTACGATAGTTTCGCGAAGAGAGAAAGAGCCAGAGCGCTAAATAGAGAGAGACACAGAGAGAGAGAGAACGAGAGGGAGACGCAGAGTCAAAAAGGGAGAGAGAAAGAAGGACAGAGAAAAAGAGAGAGGCAGAGAGGAAAGGGAGGGGGAAGGAAGAGAGAGAAAAGAGAGTGACGAGAGTGCAAGAGGCAGGTAAAGAGAGTTAGATCTCGATAGATACTTTGATCTAAACAGAGAGAGAAAGATAGAGACAGATCTCGATAGATACATCGATCTAAACAGAGAGAGAAAGAGAGAGACAGATCTCGATAAATATATTGATAAAGAAAAAGAGAGAAAGAGAGACAGACAGACAGATCTCGATAGACACATTGATACAGAAAAAGAGAGAAGGAGAGAGAGACAGACAGATCTCTTTAGATACATTGATTAATATAAACAGAGAGAGAAAGAGAGAGACAGTTCTTGATAGATACATTGATAAACAAAAAGAGAGAAAGTTAGAGAGAGACATATCTCGATAGATACATTGATATAAACAGAGAGAGAAAGAGAGAGACAGTGGGATAACAGAGAGATATAATTTAGAGGGAGACACCCCCTCCCAATCCCGCGTGGTGTTGTTGTTGTTGTTGTTGTTGTGGTGGTGTTGTTGTTGTTGTTGTTGTTGTTGTTGTTGGTGGTGGTGGTGGTGGTGGTGGTGGTGGTGGTGGAGGTGGAGTGTTACGAGAGTGTGAGCATCTACTTTTCTGACATTGTGAGCTTCACTACCATCTCTTCTAAGTGTACGTCCATGCAGATGAGGGGGTGGTGATGTTGTTGTTGTTGTCGTTCTGATGGTGGTGGTGGTGTTGTTGTTGTTGCTGTTGTTGTTGTTGTGGTGTTGTTGTTGTTGTTGTTGTTGTTGTTGTGGGGGTGGTGGTGGTGGTGGTGGTGGTGGAGTGGTACGAGAGTGTCAGCATCTACTTCTCCGACATTGTGAGCTTCACTACCATCTCTTCCAAGTGTACGCCCATGCAGGTGAGGGGGTGGTGATGTTATTGTTGTTGTTGTGGTGGTGGTGGTGGTGGTGATGTTGTTATTGTGGTGATGTTGTTGTTGTTGTTGTTGTTGTTGGTAGTGGTGGTGGTGTGGTGGTGATGGTGTTGTTGTTGTTTTCGTTGCTGCTGTTGTTGTGTTTGTCACTGATAAATTATGTTGCTGTTTTCGGTAGTGTGCTGATGGTGGTGGTGGTGGTGGTGGTGGTGTTATTTTTGTTATTGCTGCTGCTGTTGTTACCAATCGGTAATGAACATAAGAACGTAATTCTTTGATTTCTTTTACCATTAACGCAACTAGTACCTAATTTTTCTTTTTCGCAGGTGGTGGATCTCCTCAACTCGCTCTATTCGACTTTCGACAACCGAATCGGCACTTACGATGTGTATAAAGTCGAAACAATCGGGGATGCTTACATGGTGGCGAGCGGAGTGCCCTTAAGGAACGGGACTAAGGTATGGACACACAAACGAACAAACACACACACACAAACACACACACACACACACACACACATACACACACACAAACACACACGCACACAAACACCTGCACACACACAAACCAACACATCCACTCTTTCTCACTATC